TGCCCAGAAGAGGGGTTGCCTCCATTCCCACCCCACATCTGCCAGGTTGAGACAGAGATGAACCTACAGACAGGGTTCACTGCCAGCACTATATATGTATTCGTGCAGAGATGGATGGATAGAAGAATGAAGAGATGAATTCTTTTCTGCTCCATTATTGTTGCTATGTGCCCTCAGGTAAAGGTAAAGGTTCCCCTTGACATCTAGTCCAGCCGTGTTTGACTCTAGGGCGTGGTGCTCATCCCCAATCCATAGAGTCAGCGTTTTGTCCGAAAACAATCTTCCGTGGCCACATGGCCAGCGTGACTAGACACGGAACGCCATTACCTTCCCACCGAGATGGTCCCTATTTATCTACTCGCATTTTTACATGCTTTCGAACAGCTAGGTTGGCAGGAGCTGGGACAAGCGACAGGAGTTCCCTCCGTGGCGTGGATTCGATCTTATGACGGCTGGTCTTCTGACCTTGCAGCACAGAGGCTTCTGCGGTTTAACCCGCAACACCACCACATCCCTCAAGTCACTTCTAAATTCTAACCTAGCTGGTTTTTTTGAGGAACGATGGATTATTGCCACCCACCAGAGAGTCTCCATGGCTGAGCAGAGATCTGAACCCTGTTTCAAAAGAGGTTGGGAAACCTTTTAAAAGACACCTTTAAAAACCAGTCCGTACAATGGCTCTCTCATGGTGGAAGGGAGTTCCACAGGCAACACGTGGCTTCACGGAAAGCCATGTCCTACATCCTTATTCGTTTGTTCTCTCAAGGTGGTGGCACGCACATCGTCTTAAATGAGAAGGACTTGAGGGGAAACCTGTCCCATTTTCCATTTGGCCGACCTGAGTAACTGTCTTAAATCCCTCCGTGCTGAGCTTAGTTGGGCCCGGTTTCTGAAGAGAGCCACCGTGGGGTCAATGGGAAAGAGTCCGTCCCGTCCACAGAAGTTCTTTTAGAAAGGGCAGGGGTCAAAAGTGAGAAGCTGGCAGGCCGGGCCGGGCTGCCTTGTCACCTCACGGTGGTGGGTAAATCCTGGCCAAGCCGGACGATCCCAAATCCGCCTCTTGGCTTCCAGATGTTGCTTCCAAACTTCACAAAGCTCTTCTGTGGAACAGGGGAGAGTCCCTTTAGGGCTCTGAACCAAACAGTCATCCCCATTTCCCTCCCATGGGGTACAGAACTCACCTTGAATGTGTCCATGTATGAAGACGAACCTTGGAAGTTAGGGGTGTGAGAATGGCTGCTTCAATTCAGCTCCATTTGACTAGGGAATCACAGCAGGCCCATCCCTGTGAGGTGCCTCGGATTCAATTTGGTGCTGAATATTTTAAAGTATTTGCATTTGTCCGAATAGTGAAAAATGATGAAAACAAGGGAAACAAAGGGGATGAACTGAAACACAGGGGTGAAACTCAGTATTGTCAATACTGCCCAGCTGTTCCCCAATTTCAGTCTCGTCCCCTCTTGCAAACGTCTCTCTCAAGGTGGTTCATATACTTTCCCAGTAGAGTGGAAGATGCTGCCAGATAATTCATGCCGATTATCAAATTGTCCGCTGAATCAACACAAATGAAACCAAAGTGTCTGACAGCACGGGCCAAGCAACACCTCGAAAGAATTTTTGACCCCAAGACTTTTATGTCTAAATACCCCAAAAGAAATTAAGAGGCTGTCCACACTGACATATAGATATGACATATGGATTGCTAATGGCACAGTTTGGATCAGTGGGGAAAAGACCTTATCTGCAAGTGTTTCTACTTAGAGCAAGCCATTCTTCCTCTTTACAAGTTGTCACACACCTTTCTGTGTCACATTTCCAGGGGATACAACAGGCGAAAGTCCAATAAGTCAGTCCAAAGTCAGAAGTCCGGAGATACAAAACAAAGGCCAAATTGCCAAAGCCGAAACACAAACTGTAGTCAGAAGTCAGAGTCCAAAGCCAAGAGTCAAGAGAGCAAGGTCCGAGATAAGCAGGAGTGTGGATGTGAGCCAGAGAATTATTGCTTCCACAGCCTTCCAAGCCTCTGGGTACAGATTATATAGCAGCAACAGTCATCTAATTCCTAGAAAATATTCCATCCTGCTAATACTCCTGCTAATATGGAGCTTTGTGGCGCAGTGGTTAAAACCGCTGTACTGCAGCCAAAACTGTGCTCACGACCTGGGGTTCAAATCCCAGGTAGCCAGCTCAAGGTTGACTCAGTCTTCTATCCTTCCGAGGTCGGTAAAATTAATACCCAGCTTGCTGGGGGGAGGGGCAATATGTAGCCTGCATAATTAACTTGTAAACCGCCCAGAGAGTGCTTGAAGCACTATGGGGCGGTATATAAGCAGCACACTTCGTTTTGCTAAATACTCAGGGCTAGTCGACCTGATGTTCCTGTGGAAAGCATTCATACGAGCCTCAGACCTTTGTGTCATGAGTCCCTGACAAAGCTTGTCCCTCACTCTGGCTACTGGGGGAGGAGAATCTGGTGATGATTCAGCTGTCTGTGCTTCTAATTGCCTAACATTTTCCTTGGCTGTAATTAACCCCTCAGATTCCAGATCTTCTTTGGCTGAACTCATGACATTCTGGCCCAACAGTAAGGCATGCATTCTTTTTGGCATGCTTCTTGTTTAGCCAGGAGATAGCAGGTTCCAGCTGTGTCTGCTGTTGTGGCTCCAGATTCTGAGGGGTGAGAGATAAATAGGAGGGACAACAAGACATGAGAATCAGGGAAAAGGGAATAAAGAAAACAGAATAGTATCAACAGAGGGAGAGAGGAGCAATGTAAAAAAAAATGATTTCACTTCCCCTGACCGTCCACAGAGGATCAGGGGAAGTGTTTAATTGACAGCTGATTGGGCTACAAGGGATTGTTGGCTGTTTGGATGGGAGGAGCATGCCAAATGGCTCATCGCTCCTCCCCTCAACCTCAACAGACCCTTTGTAGCTCAGTTCAGCTCACACCAAAATGGTCAATCCGGATAGACCCTAAGAAAGCAATCAAACTTTGTAGCTCAATTCAGCCCACACCAAAATGGTCAGTCCGGATAGGCCCTAAGAAAGCAATCAAGCCAAGGCAGGAGGGACCTGCAGAAAAGTTTTCAACAGGCAGTCCCTTGAGAGGCAGAATTGATTGAAATCAGCACTAGAAGTCATTATTTAAAGTAGGCCGCCTTCGTTTACAACCATTGATTTTAATCCCTTTTTTTTTCCTTAGGAGCATCACTTACTCCCTAGAGAAAGCCGCATAGTGATTTGTTGATATAACCGTTAAAAACATGTTGATTTACAGCCCATGCAGAGTTTCTCTGTGGTGTTACTATATCTTTTCTTCTATCTATAGCAGGATACGGTAGCAATATGCATTTGTTTGAGCAATTATGGATTTTTTCCCTTCTTCCCCAGATTTTTTTTTCTATAAACTGCACATTTTTACTGCTTTAGAAAACAGAGGATGGTAAATTGCTTATTGTTCAAAATAGCTCTGCCTCTGGTTTTGTGAGGGGAAGAAGATGAAACAGAAGTCAGGGAAAACACTCACACAGAGAAAAAAATGCATATATAAAAGAGAAGGCTCAGAAATCAATTTTTTAAAGCCCCTTTTAAAACGTGCCCAAGGAACTCAACCAGATCTTGTCCCATCCCTCTGCCCACCAAGACTGGTATGCCAGCTTTAACTAAGCCCTGGAGACAGAAGTAACGTGAGCAGAGTTCTCCACCTTCCAGTAACCGCCATGCTAGACTACTTTAGCCCATTCTGCCTGGGCCTGCCTTTGAAGACTGTCCAGAAACTTCAGTTGGTCTAAAACACACAGCCAGATGGTTTTATTATGGCTGGTGCGGTGGGCCATGTCTACCCAGTTTTAAGTCAACTTCGCTGGCTTCTTCTCCTTTTGGGAGCAAGGGAAACTTTTAAGTCTTCTGTGGCTTGACCTTGGGGTATCAGAAGGGGCCCTTGCACATGTATGATCCTATTCAATTGTTAAAATAATTTTCTGACATCCTTCTTTATGTCCGTCTGCCACCTGAGGCTCAGGCAGGGAATGAGTGAGGTGTGGCATTTTCTGGGGTGGCATCCCGTTTAAGAGAGGCTCCATCCATACGCAGTCACTTGTCAGTGAGTGGAATGTTTACTAACTTTCCTAGCGTGACATTATTTGCTTCTTGCTGAATCTCTTGGGTGATCTCTCACATGCTGAGGCCGGCCACCATCATCCCGTACTGGTTCTAACCGACAAAGCAAAAATGCAATGGACCCGATACATCCAAAGGTATCAGAAATAAGAATGAAAGACTCAGGTCTCGAGAGGTAGAAAAATGTAAGTGATCTTTATTCTGACTATAAAATTCTCGATGTGTTTGGGCACATGGCCTGTTCTTACGCCCAACTCCTGAAGAAGGCCATGTGCCAAAATGGGTTGAACATTTTAAAATCAGATCATTTACATTTTTCTACCTCCTGAGATGTAGTCTCTCATTTTTGATTTCTAACCTACAAAGCCCTAAACAGCTCGGGTCCAAGCGATCTCAAATACCGCGTCTCCCTTAATGAGTCTGCCTGGGTGTGAAGATCATCAGGGGAGACCATCATCTCGGTCCTGCTACCCTCACAGGTGTGTTTGGTGGGTACACAGAAGAAGGTCTTCTCTGTGGTTGCTCCCAGAGACTTTGGAACTCCCTCCCACTGGAGGCCCGCCTGGCGCCGTCTTGGCTGTCCTACCCCAAGCAGGCAAATAAGACCTTTCTCTTGAAATAAGCTTTCCCTTGAGAACTTGCTGCCTGAGTCAGATTTTTTTGAATGAATTGTTGTGTCTTGCTGCTTTCAGTATGTTTGGGGTACTGCTTTTGTTTACTGTGTTGTAGTGTGGTATCTGACCCCTTTTTAATGTCATAAGCTGCCCTGATATTTGTTTGTTTGTTTTCAAATTGAATGAGATGTAACACATAGCAATAACAACAATCATGATAGCTGTGTGTGTTTCTGGAGTAAGCCCTGTTTCTATTTTCCGTAGGCATGAGCGTCATGGAGACATCCCCTTATGAACCATTTGTGAGGGGCTTTGATTACGTCCGGTTAGCCTCCATCACTGCAGGTATGTGCCAATATTATTCTTGTCCTGCTTCCTCCCCACCTCCTGGACAAACTATACATTATAGATAGATCATCATTAGAAGGGAGAATTCCTTAAGTGCTGGAAACATCTAGTTATCTCCCACAGCTTGAAAATGAGCCTCCATTATGATGTAATTGGTCTCTGAGTTGTTTTTAAAAATGGACTTTTGTTTACAAGTCTGATTCCTTGGACACAAAACTACATCACAATTACGCCTCTGAATACTGCAAGATTTCAGCTTCTAGCTATATGTCATTCGTAATGCATAATTGGGCTCTTTGAGTGATTGCACAAATGGACTTCAGGTTTCTTGAAAGAATTTTGCCGTCAGTGAAAAGCAAAGCAAATCCCCTTTCCATTTTCCTGGATGGTTTTCTTTCTGGGCGTGTTGACAAAGCATAACAACAATATATTTCTGTTATCCTTGTTTAAGGGCATATTTCTCAAGAGATCACCTTGCTTGTCTGTTGTTGAGTGTTGCTCGTTTTCACCAGCAAATCTCTTCTGGAAACAAGGGATGGGTTTCATTTCCTCCAAGATGAAACAATCTATTATTTTTCTACATTCACCCAAAGTAGGAATAATATTATCCTTTACAGCGACCATGTTCCCACTCTCCTGCCTTTCAAATAATGATGCTCACCTGATTATCAGAGAACCAGAAATCCAGGCTGCAGAACAATGTGAAGCGGACTCTCCTACAAGGTCCATTTGACATCTCCAAGCGCTGGAGAAGAGTGATAAGGGCACAGGGCCGACTCTACCATCAGACAGAAAGAGGCAGTGGCCTCAGCAGTAGAAGACGGCTGACTTTTAGAGGGGAAACAGAAACATCCCATGGCCATTTTCCTTCCCTGGACAAACAGAGCAGTGCATTCCACACAGCAGTTTCTGTTGAGTCCAACTTCGGGGCGTTGCGAATCCACGCTGGGTTTTAGTTTACATCCTACAGGAGTTCTCCAAGATGCTGAACTTATTTGGGGGTGGCGGGGTGTGTGTGATAAGGTTCAACATCACAGATAACTCCTGCAAAGCACAGACTAAAAGCTGGACTGGATTCACAGCACCTCTGAACTCGGAGTCACCGGCCACCACTAGTTCTACGTAGCCTACAGCCAAACCTCTTGGACCAGTCCTGTCCTTGGACGGGCATCAGTTAGAAATGCCCTCGCTCTGGGCTTCCTGGCTATAGAACCAAGGGTCGGAATAGATGGCCAAAAGTGTTCCTTCTGTTTCTGATTCTATTGTTGTTCCTTTGGATCACCTGCTATCCCATCATCTGCAACGTTTTCCTCGGTCCTAGAAGTCCTTTTCGCCCTCTAGTCTGGCCCTTACGGCAGAGAAGGCTCAGAGAAGCCAGTCATTAGGGCACTGGTTAAAATCTCAAGGAACGTCTGTGTCTCTCCTGGTCTACAGGGGAGGAGACAAATCTCAAGGCAAGAGAGACTGGAGGAGGAAAAAGCTGGATTTTCACCCACGAGGTGGTTTTTTAGGCATGGGATTTTGGGACTCATGGCCTACGGCACCAGAGGTTTACAGGGATTCCCCCAGCCAGAATTCTGGGGCCTTTTGCCAAAACAAAGCAAAATAAAAACCAGGTATTTTTTTAGGCATCTGTGATCTCTGCTGAGAAAGACAGCATAAGTGGCCAGGAGTTAAGCTAAGTTCCATGGGAATGGCAAGGCATTACGGGTCGGGTGGTCTCTCTGCCTTTTATGCTCTGTACAAAGTGCCTCTCAGGAAACTGCAAGGCCCAAAAGGCCTTGAAGTTCCTAGAGAGTTTAGCCCTGCCTAACCACTTCCTCTGCCTTCCTCATATCTGAGAAGAGCCATTATTTCTCACCTGAAAGTGATTCCAGATACCTGAAAGGACTGGAGTGGGGGTTGACTAAAGCCTTCCCAAAATCTGGTATCAAGAATTCCTGCAGACCTCTGGGAGCTGCACGCCATGAATTCTAAAAATCCCATACCTAGTGGTTTTAAAATCTGGGGCCCACTTTTCCCCCCACACCTGACTAGTGTTCACTGTCCCCTTTTAAAGTCGGTTTGCACATGTTGTACACCTAATATTTATTTTCACCCACAAGGAAATCCATATCGTCCATTCCTCGTGCGTTTAAATCTTAATGTTTGTTTAATGGTTTTTTTAATGCGATATTTATGTAGCGTTCTTTAAATGCCTTAGGGACGTGGTGGCGCTGTGGGCTAAACCGCAGAAGCCTCTGTGCTGCAGTTTTCCCCCACACCTGACTAGTATTCACTGTCCCCTTTTAAAGTCGGTTTGCACATGTTGTACACCTAATATTTATTTTCACCCACAAGGAAATCCATATCGTCCATCCCTCATGTGTTTAAATCTTAATGTTTCTTTAATGGTTTTTTCGATGCGATATTTAGATAGCGTTCTTTAAATGTCTTATTGGTGAGCCAACTTGGGTTTCCTACGTGGAGAAATGCAACATATAAATATTTAAATAAACAATTTTTAAAAAATAGTATTTTGCAAATATTTGCACCATTGTCCCTCTGTAACATCCGGACATTCCACTTCTTGGTCTCGGGTTACGGCCCTGACATCCCAGGGAGTGGAAAGCTGCTGATTTGGCATCTCTAGAAAAGGTGCTCTCAAGATGCCGTGCAGGCATGTCCATTATTAAAATGCCCAACACATTGGGGCCTTTTAATATTTTAAGGCCTTCTTCAAGGGGGGGCCAAAGAAAGCCAGCATGTTGTCGAGAATTTGTATCAGAGCCTTTTTTTTCTTCAGGAATTTCTGTAGATGAGTTTCCCTTGACATCTTGCCCTCCAGAAGGCCTTGAAGTGTTAAAATATTAACAGGCCAAAACACGTTGGGCATTTTAATGACAAACACCCTTTCTGTATATCTTGAGATGTGTCTCTTCCAACATGGATTTCAGTCGAATGCTTCCCAGTTTTGGCATGCCTTCGCTCGCGGGTGACCTCCTCTCCTCTCCAATGAATGGATCACATCTGGATCGCCCTTCCGTTGACCATTCTACGTACGGAAAGTGCCCGCATGCAACACACCTACCCCACCAGGTCACTCCACTCAGTGGGATCCCACAATCACTCGAATTGGCCCTGACACTCAAGGTTGGGGGTTTATCCTGGTGACCACCTATGCCCAGGATGATGGCATTTAAAATGCCGTTGCTTTTTATTAGGCTTGCCTTCTGCCCAAACACGCGTTCCCAAGCAAAGATTGAAACATTTTAAAGACTGCTCTTGATTATCACTTAACAATTGGTGAAACTAAACAGAGCTCAACTTCGCGTTACACCGCGTTTCGTGTGAGCTTCCAAACATCCAGCCTCCCTCTTCAAGATACCAATTAACACTCCATGTATACCCACTCTTAAAGTCCAACCTCCTTTCTTGGAATACAATTTAACCCTCCTCCTTTCTTCTTCTTCTTCCCAATTGGCTCTCCCCCTTCATTCTTCCAGCCAATCATCTTATTTCTGTTGTTCCTAGGTAAACTTGGCGAGGGTTCCATCACAATCCTCCAGTTTTTGGACCTGAAATCTCAAGCAATTCTGGCAATCCTAGATTTTGGGTCCATATTGATGACTTCAGGACATGCCTTTCAAACATGCTCAAAAACATTGTATTTCACCATCTTGCATGCCCCAGAGCAGCTGCTACTACTACATGTTACCCTCTAGACCAGTGGTCTCCAACCTTGGGCCTCCAGATGTTCTTGAACTTTAACTCCCAGAAATCCTGGCCAGCAGAGGTAGTGGTGAAGGCTTCTGGGAGCTGTAGTCCAAGAACATCTGGAGGCCCAATGTTGGGGACCACTGCAGACTATTGTGCACAGAGAGAGAGAGAGAGAGAAAGAGAGAGAGAGAGAGAGGCACCCGCACACAGGCACAGTCTTAGATTTATGGTATACTGATGACCTATAGAGAGAGAGAGAGAGGCATGCACACACAGTCTTAGATTTATGGTATGCTGATGACCCACCAAGCTTAGGCTTCCATGCATAGGAGTCATAGGAGAAAGCAGTGGAACCGTGTGCCGGATTTTGGATCTACCCCGCCCGTTTTCGAACTTTGCTCTCACTAGGCATGTTTCCCTGACAAATGTGGCTACCTTCACATCATCCCTTTTCCCTTTGGAACCCCGAGACATTTCACCTAAGAGAAAATCCTCACATTCAGATATCACACTTTCCTTTGGGAAAATCCAGTGGCATCTGAGGAATGAATGGGTGATGCCCCTTTGGAGAGTCTTCTTTTAATACTTCGGATTTCTCCAGGAATGACTCAAATATTTCGCTTGAGAAAGATCCCACTCTGAATAGGGCTTCCGGCCCCATTGCACTGACAGCACGGTATCTCTGCCCTCATCTCCTTGAAACCTCTTTGGAAAACAGACCGCTGTGACTGAGAGTGGCTGAACTGTCAATGAACAGACACTCGTATCTGAGTTTCTGACACCCCCCACAAACAACGGGTGAATCTGAGCCGTTTCATGAAATGGAGGCTTCTTGTGGTGAGGAAGGAAGGCGGTCAGCCCGGCGTCTGAAAGCCTGAAAAGTTGTTGGTATTTGTGTGTGTTTTTTAAGTAATTTGTTTTTTTTCCTGGCTCATTTTGGTTTTTTTTTCTTTTAAAAGCATGATTGTTGTTCAAAGCAAAGTTTTAAAAAAGTTGCTCATGTTGTCGATTTGCCCGTTGATGCTGTCAGTTTAAAAAAGAACATCATAAGTTTGACACGGTTAGATGCACAAGAATTCCCGTCAAAATGCCACTAAGCTCGCTCTTTAAAAGGAACTATAATGTAATTAGAGTTACTGGTTGTTCTATTGATGAAATAATTCCAAGCCCTCTTGTCACATTGCTTTAATTCAGATTTCCTCTAAATCTGTGAAGCTAGAGCCTTACATCTAGCCTTTGACCATGGGCCTGAACCCAGTTTGGGGGTGGGGGAGAAGAAAGCTTCCTATTGACATTGAGGACATAGATTCCTGCCCCCCCCAAAAAAAAATGTGGCAAGAGGTGCCTCCCTTATCCAGACTCACAAGCCACCCCAATGGTGGAACTAGCAAGACAGATCCAGCTTCCCTTATTCAGACTATGATTTGCACAGGTTTAAAGCAACAACGGTAGATGCAGGCTTACAGCATTCCTTCAACTAGGGTGGACTGAATCCGTGGTATAGTTAGTTATGTGGTCCAAGAGTCCAAGCTTCTATCATTTTAAAATCCCGAAAATGTCTTTTTAAAATAACGTTTGACAGCTGCTAGAAAACATTATTCAAGGACCCTAAAGAGTAACTTTGCAACTACCATTGGTTTTCAAAAAGTAACTTCATTGCACTCTTGTTACTGAAAAGCATAACTAGTTACATGTAACTAATTACTTTTAACTAATTGGTTCCCAGCTCCAATGACAGGGAACAGTGTCAGCTCTTGACTAGCTAGTTCTTATTACAAGTGACAATATTACTCCTAAGTTTTTACTTCTATGGGGATGGGACCTTCCAGTGCTAAACTGAACCCCCTTTATGAATTGAGCCGTACAGTTGTGCTAAGCCGGACTGGTGTTTTTTTTTCCCACTCCTGCGCAGGTTCCGAAAACGAGGTGACTCAGGTGAACCGGTGCCTGGACGCCGCCAAGGCCTGCAACGTGGACGAAATGTGCCAGCGCCTGCGGACCGAGTACGTCTCCTCCTGCATCCGGCGGGTGGCCCGAGCGGACACCTGCAACCGCTCCAAATGCCACAAGGCCGTGCGGAAGTTCTTTGACCGCGTCCCCCCGGAGTACACCCACGAGCTGCTCTTCTGCCCCTGTGAGGACACGGCCTGTGCCGAGCGGCGGAGGCAGACCATCGTGCCCGCCTGCTCCTACGAAGCCAAGGAGAAACCGAACTGCTTGGCTCCTCTGGATTCCTGCCGGGGCAACTACGTCTGCAGGTATGGGGCATTTGCCTCCAAAACCCATTTCCCCCCTTGTAAAGAATGCAAAAGAGAGAGAGAGTAATTCTGATGAAGATGAGGGGGGGGGAGAGAAAGAAACACAGCCAAATAGTCCATGAGCAAAATCCAAAATAAGGGGTGGGTGATCTCTATATTTAACCACTCCAGGTATCATAAATTTTGCAGAGTTTTGATTTCTTGGTCAGATTTCTCTAGCTGTGCAGCTCAAGCACAAGGATTCACAGGGCAGAACAGCTTCAAATTCCCCCAAGATTAGTCCATCCCTTTTCTCACTCACTGGCACTTACAGTCTCAATAGCTCACTTTGAGACCATGGTAGAAGAAAGAATAAAAACACTTTATTTACTCACAGTTGCGAATAGATCAAACAGCAAAGTGACAACAGGCTGGCTTCTTTCAGAGAGATTTGTTTCCATAGAACTTGGGAAAGTTGCCTTTTTTGAACAACTCTCAGAATTCTTCCCCCCCCCCCACCGATTGTGCTGCAATTAGCATTTTATAACATGAAAGTGCAACTTGGAGAATTTTCAGCTTACCAAAAATATCTGGAACCCCAGAGAGAAAGAGAGGGGAATCGGGCACTTATAAATCCACTGGGAAGGCTCACCCCAAACTTTTCAGGTGAGGGGTTTCTGTGCCAGCATGAATGCCATGAACTGCCCGCCTACGTAATCTTGAAATCTCCTGTAAATAAAAATGCGCAGATAGCTAAGTGCATTTGTGACAGCGAAACACTAGGCAGTAGAGCTCAGCTCTCATGTTCTATAGGTCTGATAATTGACAAAATGTGCAGTTGGATTTCCATTTCGATTTGGAAATGGTGACAGAATGCATTGTTTAGCATGATTTAAAAACACATTCTGAAGGCCAACCTAGACAAGACTCCATCTTTACAGTCGGATGGTAAGAAACGTTATCCTTCTTGAGACACTTTCCTTCAAAGCTGCCATGTCAAGGCCATCGACTTTCAGATGAAGTCCATAGCTTGCCTGCCCCTGGACCGACCCCAAAACTCAAGCAAGCGAAGTGACCGCATTCAGGCGACAGGAAAAAACAAGCACATCACCCCCTCTTGAGAAACCGCCGTTCTAAACGAAGCTGGCCTTTCGTACGGCTTGACTCTGAACATGTGGGAATCCTTGTTTCTCGTGGGGTCTCTTTCATCACAGCAGAGGGAAAAGGGAGGAGAGGACTTCAGGATTAACGAATGCAATCTTAATCGGCCTCTTTTGCACTTTGAAAAATCCTTGCCTTTCCTTCTTGAGGACTGTCCTCTGAGCTCTGCCCTCAGCACAGAAATCGCTCCGTTTCCATTAAAACTGGGCACGTTTCTGCAATGCCGAAGTGGGAAAGTAGCAGGAATGTAGACTCGCTGTCAATTGGACTTAAGTCGCAGGGGCGATTCAATTTGGGTCCCCCCCTCCATGACTCAGATTTGGCTTGTGACTTGGAACCCATCCACCCCACCCTTTTTTTCTGGGGAGAAAACCCTTCTTTTTAATAGAGACCCAGACTTCGCACCCAGGACTCATAGACTTGGGACCAAAGATTTGGGTCTGGGAGGTGGAGCCAAAGATTTGCAAACGTCCCTGGGAAGTAGATCAGGCCCTGGGATGCTGGAGGGAGGGAGGAAAAGCTGACCCCTTGTCACATTTCCCCTGCCGTTTTTTTCCTGATCTGACCTCTCCCCTCCAAATGCATGCCCTAAATAGCACCATGGGAGGGGTTGAGATCCAGAAAGCAGCATCTCCTTCCCCCAGAGCTGCCCCCCTGCCCGCCCGCCCTTACCCTTCCACAGCTGCTTAGAAACAAAATTTAAAGAAATGGGGAATCAGCCCATAGATCTCCCCGGCGTCACATCCATCTTGGCTTTAAATGAACTCCGGGCTCTTTGCCCTTGGAGGGCTGTCATGCCATGATTTGCAGGCGAGGAGAGTCCGGAGGACGAGAAGGCAGGATTGAAGGAGATCAAGGAAGGGAAGCTGCCTTTGCCGGGCTCTCCCCTGCCAAACCCACCCGCTGGGAGGCACTGGTTGTTACTGGGATCACAGCAGCCATGGGGGAGAAATGTAACCCTTTCCTCCCCAGAAGTTGTCCTAAAGGTTTGAACTCCTTCTCCTGAAAGGAACTCCGCCCTTCATGGGATCTGGGGAGAGCAGAGGCCATCCTCTTTGAATGTAAAGGCTGGGTGCCAGACTCACCTTTGACAACCTTTTAGGTGAGTGAGGAGCAGCCAGCCCCTTATAGGGGCTGTGCAGACAATGCCTAAAGCCAAATATAGAATGCTGTTCCATATCCTTTGTGTTTAGGTAAAATTCTGCACCTTGCGTGGATGTTCTGTCCTGGGCATGTTTATTGTATTTATTTATTTTTTTATGCTTTCTCCCAATAAGGAGACCCAAGGCGGCTCACAATATTAAAGCGAATAGAATTGAAAACATGTTAAGTTAAACATTTAAAAAAATATTAAACGATGTGCTCGTTGAAACACAATTGAATATTAAAAAGCAAGTCAACCTTAGAAACTATTGTAACTCTAAAAAGGCACTCGGGGATTCGGTCATGATGGTTAAAAGCCGGCCTGAAAAGATGGGTCTTCAGCTGTCGGCGGAAGGACAAATGGAAGGGGGCCAGCCAGATCTTCATTCCATAACCCAGGAGCCACCACAGAGAAGGCTCTGTCTCGTGTCCCCATCATCCATGCCTGCGCTTCTGATGATGATCCTAAATGCCTCCAAGGGGAGATACGGCCCTTCAGGGAGCCTGTATAGGGCTCGCTAGGTAATGACCAGCACTTTGAACTGGGCCCAGAAAGGGACTGGTAGCCAGTGCAGTGCTTGTCACTGGGCCGTGATGTGCTCCTCCCATAACTGGCCCCAGTCCGTCGTCTGGCTGCTTCCTTTTGAACCAGCTGAAATCTCCAAACCGCCTTCAAGGGCAGCCCCACACAGAGCCTGTTACAGTAATCCAACGGAGATGTAACTAAGGCATGTCTCACTGTGGCCACACCGGACATCTGATTTGCTTGCATCCTTCTCCCTTTCAGGGAAAGAAAGAAAGATGAGGCATGCAGAGAGTTTGCTGGGCTTCTGCAGATCTTCGGGGGGGGGGGAATGGCTTTTTTTTTTTAACCAGGCCTCCCAGACTCCCATTCCGTGACAGAAAGCAGCCTTATGGCTTATGATTAGGCTATTCTTTGGGTGCCCATTAGAAGTTTGCTCCAACCTTTCCACTCAAAACACTCACTGCGGGGGGGAAAAACACTTGTCTTCAACCAGGATGCTAATTCTTCACGCCTTGACCCTTTTTGCAATCCAAACACCCCTGTTTAACACTCTTTTAAGGCATTCCTTCTTTGACACCATCCCATCACTTCGTCTCTTTCAGATCCCGGTACGCTGAATTCCAGTTTAACTGCCAGCCCTCCGCCCAGTCCGCCACGGGATGCCAGAGGGAAAACTATGCTGCCTGTTTACTGGCCTATACTGGAATAATAGGTATGCGGCTCAAATTCATTTAAGGACAATGGGTGATTTGTTTATTTGGCTGTAGCTCATTGTGTGTGTGTGGGGGGGAAATAACAGCAGCCGCAGGGGGAAATAGTCTCCCCCAAGTGCCACTGGTGTTTTCTTGTGCATAGGCAAGAGGGAGGGAAGAAAACAGACATGACAGACACGGATCTCCCAGAGGTAGAGAAAAACAGTTCAGCTGGCTGGATACACACCATCCTGCCATGCCTGGTTATGCCTATAATCCTGTGAGTGGATCTATAAGATGTAATTGTGCTCAGTAGGGGATAGGGCCTGTGCATCTATGTTGTGTGCTACACACCCCTCCCCAGATGAGGTTTCTGTCCTGGATAAAACCGAGGAACAGCACAGCAAGATCCTTAGCTGTGTTGCACAGTATGATAGGTGCAGCTATAAAACTATGTGCCCTTGGATGCATGCTTTTGATGTTATTTAGTCGTCCTTGGATGCATGCTTTTGATGTTATTTAGTCATCCAGTCATGTCCGATTCTTCGTGACCCCATGGACCAGAGCATGCCAGGCCCTCCTGTCTTCCACTGCCTCACGGAGTTGGGTCAAAGTCATGTTGGTCGCTTTGGTGACCCTGTCCAACCACCTCGTCCTCTGTCATCCCCTTCTCTTGCCTTCACACTTTCCCAACATCAGGGTCTTGTCCAGGGAGTCTTCTCTTCTCATGAGATGACATCTCGTCCTCTGTCATCCCCTTCTCCTCTTGCCCTCACTCTTTCCCAGTGATGCATGCTTACATAGGGAAAAAATATTTGATTGCTGTTACTCCTTGGGTTTTTTTTAACTCTACCACTGACCCTCCAGTCTCAAGCGTGCAGCCCAAAAATTCAATTCCACGTCCCAAATGGTTTTCAGACTTGAGTGCAGAAGCAATTACACAGAATCAGATCAAAGATCTAATTCTCAAAGCTCAACATTCACAAAAAAAGGCATGGATCTGGCGAAAGCTGACAGCAGCGGCCTGTTCCAGAGCGCAGCGGCTTCTCGCACCGGCTTATAGCTTCTCCGACTTTGCAGGGAGACAGCGTCCGGCGCATTGGGACTGGCGCACTGCAGACGTGCATGGGAGTGGGCGGTCGACCCTTGGGCATCCCAAAGGGGCTAGAGGCTTGCCTGGAGCCGAGGAGGAGTTCCTTGTTTTGGAACACAACTCCCAGAATCCTTTAGTCTGCATTGCCAGTGCCTGTCCTACAATGTTAAGGTCCAAGATTTCTCCGCGTGTCTGTTCCTGATTCTTCCGTCACCGTTCAGGAACCCAACTAATTGTTTTGGAGCAGATGGGAGGGGACAAAGCCTGCCAGGAAGAAGGAGTGGCAGCCAGGTGGGGAAGCACACTAGGTGTGTTTCTGCTGTAGAGAAGAAGGCAGGGGCTCCATTATACTTTGATATGTACTCATGGAAAGCTTATGCATCCTTTTATGCCAGATGTGTCAACTACCCATCAGTCTGGTTGCCCTGGCAAATGAGAAAGATCAGTAGGAGTCTGAACATTTTTGGTAAATTGTCAGCATGGTAGTCATATGGGGGAAGGGATTCTCTCTCCCCCTTCTCTTTCCAGGTTACCTGTAAGGCACAAATTACTATTGCAGAGTTGTTGAATTTTTGTTAAAAACCTCTCTGCACAGCAGAAGTACGGGGACTTACAGAACAGAATTAGCTTCAAGTCTCGCCAGAGTAGAACATTACTTTTTTTGTCTCATCGACTGGCACTTACAGTTCTCAATAACTCACTCTGAGGAAAATGGTAAGAGAAAGAATAAAAAGGTTCCAGTTACTCACAGTTGAATAGATCAAAAACCAGCATACTGTAGAAGAATGACTTCTTGCAGCCACAGGGCTCAACAAACTACACCACCTGCTTCCAGCAGAATCGTACGGACTACATTCTAACAGCACTCTAACTGCACTAACCTGCATTAACTGCCAGCAGATTAAAAAGAGAGGGAAAGATACTTAAGAAGAGAGGTGTGACTTTCTTTGAAATCAAACACAGGGAAGAACAATTGGTTACTGCTCGGTTGATTGATGATCACCCTGGGCAAGAAAGGTCCCTCCCAGCCAAACCTAACTAAAGCAATGGCTCCCACCTTGGGTGCCCAGATGTTCTTGGACTACGACTCCCAGAAGCCATCACCACGAGCCATCCTGGACAGGATTTGTGGGAGTCGTAGTCCAAGAACTACTAGGTTGGGACCCAGTGTACTAAAGGCAGCATACAAGGTTGAAATAACTCAAACGGTAATCCTACCTCTTCGTCCAGATGGGAGTTGGTGCAGCAAAAAAAAAAAAAGCACAAAGTGATCAGAAATCACTTTCATCTTTTAAAAATGCTTCTCTCTAGCCTTAAACAGTGTGTTTGGGGGATTGGGGGTAAAACCTGGAGAAATTGGTTCAGGAGGAGAGAAGGGGGCTTTTTTTTTTAAAGCAGAAAAATTATTTTTCATTTAAAAAAAAAGGTATGTGGCTATGGGTGATGGGAACTGTAGTCAAATATTAGTCCAGAGCACCCCATTTGGCAAAGTTGAAAAGAGGGAACTGAATGGGGAAAGGATTGTCTGCTTCAAGGGGCCCCCTAGCTACCCCCTTGAATGCGTGTGTGTGTGTGCTTGTACACTCAGCAGTCAAGGATCCAGGCTTCTGTGGGAGTTTACAGCTGAGAAGTAATGTGTTATGAGCCGTGACATTGCTTGTGACAAATCATGCTTGGGATGCGTGTGTAACTTCCTTGAGAAATATGTGAATCTCTACAAATGCATCACTTTGCATAACGAGTAACATGGACTCTTTCCTTCAAAACAACACTTCCTGAGCAATTTCAGGGTATAAGGAGCCATGGTTTGTATTTTAGAGTGATTTTTAAAAAATCTTTTGAAACATTTGTCTAAAAGCTATACTTTGGGAATACTGTATGTTACTGGCTGGAATCCTACTTGTGTTCACGTAAGGTCTGCGTAGCTTATTACACTAAATAACTGCTCATTCAAGACGTTTCGGGCACATCTCAGAGACACAGTCAAGAGCAGTGGTTCCTAACTTTGGGTCCCCAGATGTTCTTGAGAAGCCTTCATCCTGCTGGACAGGATTTCTGGGACTTGTAGTTCAGGAACATCTGGGGACCCATGGCTGGGCAGAGTTATCAGTCCTGAGTCTGTGGTGTACCATCACCAGAGTCCTTCAACAGTGTCAAGGTGGTTGTCAGAAAGATATACGGGCGAAACGTTAGGAAGAACAACCTTCAGAACACGGCCAGAGAGCCCGAAAAACCCACAACAACCATCAGATCCTGGCCGTGAAAGCCTTCGAGAATATTTTGCAGTAATGTTTGTAAACTCTTCTCTTGGAGCAATTGTTGTGTTCAATCTCTTTTTTTCTCTCTCCACTCCACCTGTCAAAAGATGTTTGTTTTCTCTCCTGTCCCTCCTCCCCGATTCCCTTTGCAGGTAGTCCCATCACCCCAAACTACATCGACAACTCGACCTCAAACATCGCTCCGTGGTGTACGTGCAATGCCAGTGGCAACAGGCAGGATGAGTGTGAGAGCTTTCTTCACCTCTTCACGGCCAACCTCTGCCTCCGTGAGTACCAGGTGGCTTTCACAACACTTAAGGAAGCTGGGTATGTTTTGTTTGGAGAGGAGAAGATAGAGAGGGGATACAAATATCCACCATTAACTCTTTGAGTGGCTCAAATACGGGAAACGAAACAATGGCCCAGGACTAGAAACAGTCAACGCACAATATCCGGTCCTAAAGAGAAAGGATGCCAGAGGAATGCCACAGGACCCTTCCACTCAAGATTTGACAGCAAAAAATTTCATCAGCCACAGAGCAGAAAATGCCAGACATTCAAGCAGGATTGAGAAAAGGAGGGTACACTAGAGATCATATACATTAGCTGATAGGCTGAACTATAGAATTTCAGAAGCAAACTAATTTGCCTATTGTAAACTATAATGAGGAGAGGATCGTGGAGAGTGGCCAATCATTCTACAAAACCTGTGTGTGCCACAACTTTAGCTTGTCCAGATATATAATCTATATTCTGGACAAAGACTCCTGTTTTTTCCCTGTGGGTAGGGGGTAATCTATCTATCTATCTATCTATCTATCTATCTATCTATCTATCTATCTATCTATCTATCTATCTATCTATCTATCTATCTATCTATCTATCTCTCTATCTGTCTCTCTGTCTAATCTAATCTAATCTAATCTAATCTAATCTAATCTAATTTGTATCTTAACATTAAACAGCCAGGACAGAATATAGAGAAAGAGAATGGTTTCCTCTTTGCAAAGGTTTCAGACAAGTCTATTAAATATGTGTGCAAAGCATGTCATATAGATGGACTAAATTCAGATGGGGTGAAAATTGCTGGAAGAAATACCATATCACTTGAAAGTGCAGCTATTAAGAAGCTAGGGAAAAAAGACCTTATGTGCAAAGAGGTGTTGCTGGACACCACAGTCAAGATCCTTCAGCATACTGTGGTATTCCCAGTTACTATGTATGGATGTTAAGGCTAGACAATGAAGAAAGCTGAAAAGAAAAGAAAAATCAATTCATTTGAAGTGAGAAAAGCTTTATAGATAAAGCTGTCCTCCAAAACCATCTTTCACAGGCTGTCAGGAAGAAAAGTTAAGTGGATTATAGATCAGATCAAACCTCACTGGCGAGGCTATCATACTTCGGACATGTCATGAAAAGACAGGACTTTCTGGAAAAGAAAATGATGCTAGGAAAAGTTGAAAAGGCCTTAGAAAAAGAGGAAGGCCTAACACAAAATGGATCAACTCCATAAAAGAAGCCACGGTCTTGAGTTTGCAAGACCTGATGGTAAACTCTCTTCCATTGGAGGAGCTTGAGCAAGGGGTCCCATGGCTGTTTTTCAGGGTGGGGTGGATTAGGGTTAGGGGTGAGACCAACCCCCTGCAGTGACAGGAGTTTGGTCCAGATCAGTCGTTCCCAACAGGGGCCCATATGGCCTCCCAGAGGGCCCTGGAATGTTTGAAAGGGGGCACAGATCCCCCCCCCCGTTCATGTTGTATCTTGTTTGCACACAGCCCGAGATTTTCCTTGTTCGGTTGGAGGGCCAGAACCTGAGAAGAGCTGCTAAAAGGGTTGTAGCAAAAGAAAAAAAAGGTTAAGAATGGCTTGTCTAGATGACCCTTGGTATCCCCTCCAGCTTTTGTTGTTGTTTAGTCGTGTCCGACTCTTAGTGACCCCACAGACCAGAGCACGCCAGGCCCTCCTGTCTTCCACTGCCTCCCGGAGTTGGGTCAAAGTCATGTTGGTTGCTTCGATGACCCTGTCCAGCCATCTCATCCTCTGCCATCCCCTTCTCCTCCTGCTTTCACACTTTCCCAACATCAGGGTCTTTCCCAGGGAGTCTTCTCTTCTCATGAGATGGCCAAAGTACTGGAGCCTCAGCTTCAGGATCTGTCCTTCCAGTGAGCCCTCAGGGTTGGTTTCCTTCAGAATGGATAGGTTTGTTCTCTTTGCAGTCCAGGAGACTCTCAAGACTCCACTCCAGCACCTAACAATTCAAAAGCATCCATTCTTCGGCAGTCAGCCTTCTTTATGGTCCAGCTCTCACTTCCATACATCGCTACTGGAGACAAATAGCCGAGCCTTTCTGAATGGCAGAGTTAAGAAAGAAACCTCTCTGACAGCCCAGGAGCGATGAGGCAGGTTGCTTGTGTCAAGACCGATCAGCCTCCCAAGAAGGATGTGAGGCTGTCAGAGCTCACGGTGAGCTGACAAGCGGGGGACCTTGAAGCAGGCTGGATGTTGATGGCTGCCATGTGGGAAGAGAGCCACCCCTTGGTACCAGAACCGGCTGATGAAGGATGACTTTCGGACCTCCTGAATGTGGGTTTGTCGGCATGAAGGCCACATTGATCAAGTCCTTGCTCCCTTTCGGCCTCCTCTTTCCACAGGAGAAATATCTCCCCAGGTTTGCCTTGAAGCGAGTGCAGGAAATCCATTCCATGGAGATGGCCACGCTCCCCTTGGGAAGGACGGCTCTCCGTTTCGTCTCTCCTCTTATGCCAGCCCGGAAATGGAGCCTCTGTGTGGCTCCTTCCCTTTTGCACAAAAGGATGATTTGAAAGCTTTCAAACCAAAGCTTAAGCCAATGTCAAATTTTGCCTTTGCCAATTATCTGTGAATGTTTCTGGAATGGTCATCCTTCATAGTTCAGTTCCATGGTGCTTGAATTGCTTTGGGGGCATGGGTTTGAGGGTGGGATGATCCCATTTGTGGGGGGAGGAACATCCTTACTCCCTGTTATGAGCAGACCTTCAAAAGTTAGTTTTCAAACAAATACATTATAATTCCAAGCCCCTCATGAAAGTTAGTTACAGTTCTTACAGTTCTTGAAAATTAATTCTTTACTTTGCCCCTTTTCAAAAGTAACTAAATGGTTCCCTTTGATTACTTTTACAAACTTTTGCAAACACATCTGAATGCTTGAAGCCACTGGTCTGTAGGGAAATGTATTTATTTTATTTATTTATCCGATTTATATCCCGCCCATCTGGTATATTCTACCATTCTGGGTGGCAGTCTCCCCTCATCTGCCTCAGCATCTTGAACAGAACGCGAGGCAACATACTGAGACAATACTTGAACCCTGTGATACTCCTCCCCCACCATTTGCCAGGCCATTCCCCCATAACTCTAAAAACTTCTAAAACATTGGGTAAATAGATGAATTGTCATTAGTTGCATTACAATAAATTCTTTCTCTCAACATCAGAGGCGTTACCCTAACGACAGCACCTACGTAGAATTAATGGCACATGACTTCATTACTTCCACGTCAAGCCCTGATTCTCAAGAAGATTATGGTGGAGACATAATTTGAGCGGGAGAGGATTCCTAAATGGGGCGTGTGGGTTTCTTAACAAAAGTAACTAAAAGTAACTATTTAGTTGCTTTTGAAAAAGGGAACGTAACTAATTACTTTTGAATAACTGTAAGAATAACGACAATAATAGAACAAAGAAATACCTTGAGGATTGAGCCTTCAAACCCTGGAGGTGCCAGAGTCGAAGATAAAGAACTGAGGGGGGGAAATCATCAAACTATGGAAAGAGAACTTGCTTGTGGATGAAACACACAGTTCAGTGGTCCCCAATGCTGTAGGAGTTTATAAAATATCAAAATCATATCTCTGAAAAAACACCCTCAGAGCTGCAGAACACAGCAATATTACAGACAGCATACGTATTGCACCAACATTTAACAGTTTTTTTAAATAAAACTGGTATCTGTTATATAATACCCGTCAAGGACTGGGTCTTCTCTTTTCTAATGATGATGATGATGTGCCGTCAAGTCGACTCTGACTTATGGTGACCCCTAAGCCTTTAAAAATGTGGGAATGGGGGACGCCACAGAGAGGCGACAGTGCTTCCAGATGTGGCAAAATTATCCCTTGCAACCCACAGAGGACTTTAAAAGCAAAAGACAATACCAACCATCTTCCCTGTATGTGGGATACACTATTATTATTATGAATGTTGTTGTTGTTGTTGTTGTTGTTGTTGTTGTTGTTGTTGTTGTTGATGATGATGATGATGATGATGATGATGATGATGATGATGATGATGATGATGATAGTAATAATGTGCCATCAAGTAAATTCTGAGTTATGGTGACCCTTTTCAGGATTTTCTAGGTAATGAATACTCAGAAGTAGTTTTTACCCTTCCCTTCCACTAGGGGCACTCTGGGACTGCTGTGCAGCTGGCCCAAGGCTACCCAGGCTGGCTCTTCTCCCAGGAGGCACCATGGGGGGATTCGAACTCTCAACTTCTGCCTCTGCAGCCAGAGACCTAAACCGCTTAGCTGTATGAAAAGGGAGATGCCCTTCATGGCTTCCCATACGATATATAAATACCATTAAAAGCGTTGAGACACAAGTCATGGTAGGGCTTGAGAAAGTTACCTCTTCTGGATGTTGGGTGGTCCACAAAACATCACGTTCCCAGGGTGTCGATGGCTTATTCCGGGAGAAGGAGAGGTATAATTTCCTCCTTTCTCGCTTCCTCTTCTACCCAGAGAGCCGATGCTTGTCTGGTGGTTTTAAAGTGGAGTTGCTTGGAGCCTAAAAGCAGACAGAGGCGAACTTTGAGTGAGCAAAAGGTTGTAAGGCAGGAGGTGTTATCTCCCCCATGGGGTGACAATATGGGTGTCACATTGTGAAGCCTGTGAAATGTTGGCGAAGTCACAAGGAAAAGTTTCGGGACTCGGAGCTGCAGCTATCCATCAGATTTGTACCTCTGGCCCTGGAGCAGAGAGGTGGATCATTTTTCCCCCCCAGTAAGCGTCCAAGGCTCCATAAATCCTCGCTCTCCGTTCTCCACAAGGCTGGTGAATTATTCACATCCCTGGATGGCGGGCCAGCCAGACAGCTTGCCAGGAAGCTCAGCACCAGCTCTTCCATCACCAAGGGCCATCTTCAGTCCTTCCTCTGAAGGCCACCTCTATCTGTAGGGACAGTGGAACCGACTACCTAAGGACATAACATAAGAACAGAAGAAGGGCCCTGCTGGATCAGGCCAAGGTCCCCTCTAGTCCAGCTTTTTGGATCTCACCATGGCCCCACCAGATGCCTCTGGGAGCCCACGAGACCACTAGATATAACTGTCTCCTGATACCCCACCCCTGCATCTGGCATTTTGCAGTACCTCCCATTTAAGCCCAGAGATTATACATCCCCATCATGGCTTGTCACCTGCAATGGCCTTTTCCTCCAGGAATCTGTCTAATCCCCTTTTCAAGGCCTCTAGGCCAGATGCCATTGCCACATCCTGTGACAAGGAGTTCCACGGACTAACAACACGCTGGGTCAATAAATCTTTTACCTTTGGTCTGTTCTCCCTCTCCCAACACTCCATTGGAGCGGGTGTCCCCTAGTTCTAGGTCTTGCGTGAGAGGGAACAGAGCTTCCCTCTATCCACTTGATCCGTCTCCTGCATCATTTTAGACGTCTCCATCATGTCCCCCATCGGGTGCCTTGTCTCTAGACTCAAGAGCCTCAAAGACTCTCTTTTGTTGCTGGGGGGGGGAGTTCATCAGAGGTTGGACGGCCACCCATCAGAGATGCTTTAGCTGTGAACTCACATGGGTGCAGGGGTGGACTAGATGACCTTGAGGTGCACTTCCAATTCTGCGGTTCTACCATTTGAGGATTCTAATTGGATGGCAGACAGAGCAGGCCTATCCCTCGCTCTGTTATACTGTGTTGCAGTCCTTTTTTAAAAAAATGATAGCTACATTTATTGTGCACAGGATGAAAATCAGCATAGGGGGCATGTCCTTTCTTGGTCATTTTGTAAAAGGCCTCTCTAGAAGAAAAAGAAGAAGAAGAGTTATAGAGGAGAAAGCAACTGAGTGTGTCTATGTGTCAGGGTCTGTCCAAGATGATTTGCTGTTTGAAGTGGAACAGACAGTTCCTCTACACTACAATCGAGAAGCGCAGCACTAAAAGCCAGCCAAGTGCCTTTGAAATACGTTGCACATGATGCCACAAGGACTTCTCCTGAACCCCGACAATTAAAAAAAAAACCACAATAAGAAAGCTAAGAAATGACAATATGGTCCTCTTTTCACATCATCACCCTCCCTGCTGCCTGTAGCAGCTACGTACAAAGCTCTGTCTAATAATTCAATATTTAAAACATGATGCAAAAAAAATTATCTGTGGGCCTTTTGTGGCTTCTAAGAAAATATTTTTGGACCCTATTTTAGGGGTGTGTGTGTGTGTGTGTGTGTGTGTGTGTGAGAGAGAGAGAGAGAGAGAGACAGAGACAGAGAGAGAGAGAGAGAGAGAGACAGAGACAGAGACAGAGACAGAGACAGAGACAGAGACAGAGACAGAGACAGAGACAGAGAGTTGGACGGCCATCTAGAACTGGCAATTTTGCTGTAAAATGGATCCAAGCTGTCCCACCTCTTTCATTTCACAGGAACAGCCATCGGTCTGTAATGATGCTTTTAAGCACCCATGGCAGGTCCTCAGGGTGGAAAGATTAGCTCCCGGACCCTCCCGAGGACGGCCTCCTTGATCTAGAAACCTTTGCAGGATTCCTTCGCCTGTGGTCTGAAGTCATCAACTCAAAGGATGGAACGGGAGGAGTCCGCCTCGGAGAAAGGCTCTCACCGTCTTCTTGCTCTTTTTTTCCAGAGAACGCCATCCAAGCCTTTGGCAACGGGACATATCTGAGCGCCGCCCTGGGCCCTTCCACCCCTCCGACGACGCAGATGCGCAAGCAGGAACGCAACACCCACAAAGCAGCCACCACCTTGAGAGAGAACCTCTTCGAACAGCTACAGCCCACCAAGGTAAGTAAGGATCCCCAGAACAACCGTCGGGTGAATTGGGCCGTCCACCCGTCGTCTGGGGCTCTTGATTGTTGTGGTGGTTGTTTAGTCATTAATTTATTTTATTTATTTATTTATTCTATTTATACCCCACCTGTCTGGTCATTGTGACCACTCTAAGTGCTTACAACATAAAATACATAACAAATATAAAAGAAAATTATTATACAATTAAAGAATTTAGCAAAATGGAGAGCATACAAAATAAATCAAATAGAGAGAAAAGGGGAGAGGATCAGGAATTAACTGGGGGGAAGTCGCATCCGACTCTTCGTGACCCCATGGACCAGAGCACGCCAGGCCCTCCTGTCTTCCACTGCCTCCCGGAGTTGGGTCAAATTCATGTTGGTTGCTTCGATGACACTGTCCAGCCATCTCGTCCTCCATCATCCCTTTCTCCTCTTGCCGTCACACTTTCCCAACATCAGGGTCTTTTCCAGGGAGTCTTCTCTTCACATGAGATGGCCAACATATTGGAGCCTCCGCTTCAGGATCTGTCCTTCCAGTGAGCCCTCAGGGTTGATTTCCTTCAGAATGGAGAGGTTTGTTCTCCTTGCAGTCCAGGGGACTCTCAAGAG